CCTATGCAGTGTCACTCTTGAGTCTAAACCAACTCAGTGGCAGGTAATGACAACAACAAAGCAAAATTGGAGCCCTGGTGTGGCACTATAGGATAAGCAGTGAACTGCTAACCCTAAGTTTGGCTGTTCTAACCTATTAACCACTCCTCAGAAGCCCTGTGAACACAGTCACTGTGAGTTAGAACCAGCACTTGACAGCAACAATAAGGCAAAGTTATGTTTAGTGTTAACCGTAGTAAACAAATATATATGATTTCTTTGTGCAAGCAGAGTTGTTGTTAGGTGCCATTTGTTGTTGTTGTGTGCCGTCGAGTCAGATCCGACCCATGGTGACCCTGTATAGGGTTTCCAAGAGTAGCTGGCGAGCTTGAACTACCGACCTTGGAGTTCAAATAGCTTTGCAGCCTGGCACATTAACCCACAGCGCCACATAGGTGCCACTTAGTCATCTCCTATTCATAGTGACCTTATACACAACAGAGCAAGACGATGTCCAGTCCCACGCCATCCTCACAATTGCTACTATGCTTGAGCCCATTGCTGCTGCCACTGTGCCAATCCATCTCATTGTGGTCTCCTTCTTTTTCACTGACCTTACACTTAACCAAACATGATATCCATCTCCAGGGATTGGTCCCTCCTAATAATGTGTGTGAAGTATGAGAGATGAAGTCTTGCCATTCTTGCTACTATGAAACATTCTGGCTATGCTCTGACAACACAGTTTTGTTTGTTCTTCTGGCACTCTATGGTACTTTCAGTGTTCTTCTCAAACACTGTAACTCAAATGAATCAATCCATCTACGTTCTTCCTTATTTATTATTCAACTTTCACAGGCAAGAAGAGTCGTTGTTAGTGCCACCAAGTCAGTTCTGACTCATGTCGACCCTGCGTAGGGTTTACATGGAGTGTCTGGTGGGTTTGAACCATCATATGGTTAGAAGCCCAGTGCTTGTCCTACAGCACCACACCAGGATTCCTACATATTCTTTAGGGCTGGCACTTTATTCAATAACTGTGTCAAGTTCTGTCATTGAGAGACAGTGTCTTCAACAAAGAGAACATCGTATTTTTAAACATTACAGAAGGAACTATAGTGATCAGTTGGGCTAACTCATTTTCTAAACAGAGCTTTGTAATATTTTACTCTCATTAAATTTTTCACACATTTCTCTTCAAGGAGAGAAACAAAAGATACCAGAAGTTTTTTTTTTGTTGTTGTTGTTTTTTTTTATAAATCTAAACCTTCCATTGCTAGCTGACAAATGTTTGGCCTTTCTTAGAATGGATTTTTTTTTTCTTTTTCCTAGATATTTTTGGATTTCACTTATTAATGGAAACTGATTAATTCTCATTCATTGTTTTTCCAGAGCACACCAGCTGCTCTTGAGTGTGCCAGAAAGATGAGGCTTTCTACCCCCGCAAAGATTTATAAAGCCTCAGAAATGCTATACAATGTCACTTATGAGTCGAAGCAACTAAAAGCACCTAAAAACAACAGTAGTTTTTCTTATCTATGTAAACAGTAATTACATTTTTTCTTAACTTTTTCTTAGGATTGAACAACTTCAGTTACTTTATCCTAACTTCAAAAAACATATATCTTTATTGCTTTCATCATTGTGTTTTCATGTTTTTAAAAATCATGTTAAAAGAATATGATCAAAACTGTCTGCAAACTCTTATAAGAATCCAACATTTTTTTAAAAAAAGAATCTAATATAAAATGGAGTCTTGAGAGGCACTGTAAGCACCGTACTGCTGACCACTGGTTATGCAGTTCAAACCCACCAGCCACTCCTTGGAAACCCTATACAGGGTCGCTATGACACATAACAAAAACATTATATGATATAGTACAAGAAGGCTTCTTGAGTACTATAGTGAATCAACAATTTCATAACCATAATTAAGCAATGTTTCCTGCCAGTCCTGCAAATCAACAATTACTCAAATCTTGTTTTGTTAGAATAATATGACGGTTGCATATTTTGGGATCCTATTGTGCCACGTATTTAGTCCCTGAATAGTGCCTATTATAGTTAAGAGCTCAACTACTGAATGGTGGTGATGGTGGTTGTGTTCAGTCGAGTTTGAACCAATTAGAGGTACCTAGGAAGAAAGTCCTGACGATCAGCTTTCTGAAAATCACAGCTATGAAAACCCCATCTATGGAGCGAAATTCTCCACAAGTTGGAATCACTTTGATGGGAACTGGTTTGGTTTTGGTTTACTCTGCTACCTGATAATATTGCTAATACTGCTTTATGATGAATATAGTAAAAGATGCATTTAAATGTTTCATATTATCTTTAGGGAGAGCTAAGCTAAAGAGTCCTGGTGTAGTACTGTAGAATAAGCACTGAATTTCAAGGTCAGCAGTTCTAACTCACCAGTCACCCCTTGGAAACCCTATACAGCGTCAACATGAGTCAGAACCTACTCGATGGCATTTAACAACAACAATGAAAGGACTGCAGGTCCTGGAAATAATAATGAGAATTTTTTTTCTCATTATTAACCAAAGAAAAACAGATTCCCTTTTAAGATTTTTTTAAGAAAAAGAAGTCAGAGGAGCCAAATTGGGACTGTAAGGTGAATGCCTAATGCAAAGTTGCCCTTGTTTGATGAGAGGAATGAGCAGGAACATTGTGATGGAGGACTTTTGCTAACACTTTGGGTAACTTTTTCAAAATTTTCTCATCATAAGCAGATACTATATCGTTCTTTGGCCCTCCAGAAAGTCAATAAGGAAAATGCCTTGAACATGCCAAAAAACTGTTACTGTGACCTTTCCTCTTGACCAGACTTCCTTTACTTTGACCAGACCACTTCCACCTCTTGGTAGCCATTGCTATGATTGTGCTTTGTTTTCTGAATCGTACTGGCAAAGCCATGTTTCATCTGTTAGAATTCTCCCAAGAAATACATTAGGATCTTGATCTCACTTTGCTTAATTTTCCATAGAAAGCTCCGCTGTTGTCTGCAGCTGATCTGGGCACAATAATTTCGGGACCCATCAAGCAGTTAACTATGTTTCTCCTGTTAATCTCTGATGCTCTTCAACTAGAACAAGAATAAGGTTGTTTCCTTACAAACTGATATGGATGGTCTGCTGCTGAGGACTTTTATCTTTAACACCTTCTCATTCCTTCTTAAAATGAACAATCTGTTTGTAAACTGCTGATTCCTGTGGGCATTGTCTTCACAAATTTTTCGTAAATCATCAGTGATTTCACCATCTGTTCACCCAAGTTTCACCCTAAATTTGGCGTTTGTGCTTGCTTCAATTTTAAAAGAATTCATGTTGTTGTGATAAGAGGTTCTTTTCAAACTGGTGTCCTATTCTTAATGTCTCAGGCTAGGTCCTGTTCAGACATGTTATAATAAGTACGAGTTTATTTTGGCGTAAAATTATTTTGAAATCCATGTGTAGTTTTTTCATAATAGGCATTTTTTGTGAACTTTTTGAAGATCCTGTGTAGGAAAGCGCAGTCATTTTACCTGTAGGAAATAATTTTTATCGTGAAAATAAAAGTATTTTCTATGGAGAATCTGGTGATTATAAAAAGCTACACATATTCTGACTCCTAATGTGTGCTGTAGAATCAGCACTGGACTGCAAACCTCAAGGTTGGCAGTTCAAACCCACCAGCTTCTCCTCAGAAACCCTGTATAGAATCACTGTAAACCAGAAACAATTCAACCACTCAAAGGCACTTGACAACAAAAAACATGTATGTTGATGAATGTCTAAAATCTTCTCTTGAGTTATATTCTAAGTCTCCTTTTGATTACCAATGTTTTGGTTTTTTTCTTTAAAGGATTGTTTGATGGTGGGCCTACATACTTGTGGTGATCTTGCTCCAAATACTCTACGGATATTTACTTCTAAGTATGAAATCAAGGGAGTATGCAGTGTGGGTTGTTGCTATCACCTCTTATCTGAAGAGTTTGAAAATCAGCATAAAGGTACAAATCTCCTCATGTCTCATAATTTTTAGAGTATTTGAGTATAATGCTTGCTTTCTCTCTCTTTTTTTTCTTCCTTTATTGTCATTTTGAATTAGCTTTCAGTGTACCATCTGATTTTCTTGCAGTTTTATTTAATGTTAGAATATTATTAATTTGTAATATACCATCATAATTTTATATATTTTATTAATTTCTATAATCATACAATGACAAAATGAATGTTGACTACTATATATACATTTCAAACTTCTGTGTGGTATTACTTGTAGTGAACTTTTAAAAGAATGTATGTGCATTTCCTGTGATTGTTATTGTTGATGGTGGTGGTAAGTGCCATTGAGTCAGTTATGATTCATCGCAACTCTATATAGTGTTTCTGGGACGTTTGTGCTCTTTGCCAGAGCACAAAAGCCGTATCACTTTCCCACAGAACAGCTGGTGAGCTTGAACCAACAGCCTTGTGGTTCCCAGTTCAATTTTTATCCTAAAGAGCCACCGTGCTCCCCCCGTGATAGTAAAGCTAAATTATTCTGTCATGAATATAAAGTTACAACATTTGTTTGCACTGTAAGGGCTTTCTATTTGTTTCTGAAAGAATGTTGATATTTCTACACACACACACACAAATGTTCCTTAGTGCATTTTAAGAGTCACCATACTAGGATGTTTTTGAATTCCAAAACTGTGCAGTCGTATTAGTAGTTTCTAAAGTGAGCTGTGACCTCCGTGACTCAGAAGGTGCCTGAAAAGCAAATTAGAGTAGCTTAGCAGGGCTTGGTGTTCCCTATAGCTCTTCATCCCGAACAGCTCCTGAATACCTCTCTTTGTCCACCTTCTACATTGTAGTGCCCATAAGATGGGGTTTCAAACCTTCTGGTTCTGAGTCGATTGTTTTTATGTTCTATTAGTATTAGCAGTTTTCTCTTATACTTGTTTAATAACATCTTTAGCAGTGTCCAATATCCTTTGCTGAAATTTCTCAAGTCACAAAGGTGAGTGAATATGAATAATATTCTTTTCTCTCTGTTGTAAAACCCAGATTAATAAGAAATTTTGATCATTTTTCATTTAATGATGTCCAATAGGAAAAATTATGTAACTACTAATATTCTTCTCTAGCACCATAGTACAACTGCATCAATTCTTCTTCAGTCTTCCATATTCATTGTCCAACTTCACATACATATGAGGCTATTAAACATATCGGGAAGATGCGAGGGCTGAGAACTGGAAAGGTGGTCTAGATTTGGGGAGGTTGCGGTCCAGAGTCTAGGCGACAGAGCGAGACAGAGCCAGAAGGTGATGGGAGGTGGCCGGGCTGGAGCTGGCTGGTGTGCACACACGGGCCGCAACTGAGGAAGAAGAGGATGATCTCCAGGTACACTTGAAAGGCGACTCCCCAGAGCTTGGAACTGAGAGGAATAACTCACAATGCTTTTCATCATCATCCCCTACCTGAGTGACTGGATGAAGTTTTTTCCACTAATGATAGCCATGAAAAAGATACAGGTCCCCAAAGTGAGTCTGACATCACACAGGAATCACCTTTTACATCAGCTGACACTAGGAATACAAGGTCTGCTCTTCCAAGTTATATAGGGATCTTTACTGAAGGCAGCTCGGAGGTCTCCTGGGGATATGGTGTGAGTTGTATGTTATCGATATGATAGCGTGCTTGGGAGACCATTCTGGTTGTTATAATTTGCCAGTTTTGTTAGTATATTTCATTCATTTACTCTCCTGCATTATTTCTAAACATTTTAGTACTTAAACTTACTACTCCTTGTAGTCATTGTAAAGAAACGTCAATCCTCACCCTCTTTGTTTTGATTTATGAATTATAAATATAATTGTTGAGGTGCTAGTTCTTGACTTCAACATTTTCAGATTAATACGGATCTAGGTTTTGGATGCATCCTTTGGCTGTGCCCAGTCCACTAATCTGTAGTCTGTTCACCATTGATATATTATCTTGTTTAAAATGTACTTGACTTCATTTAGCATAATGTTTTCCAGGTTCATTCATAGCATAGAATGTGTCTGTTTCCTTTTTTATGGCCCAATGATACTACATTATATGGATATACAACATTAATTGATCATTTCATCAGTTGATGGATATTTGGGTTATTTCTCATTTTGGGCTACTATGAATAATGCTGGAGTGCTGGTGTGGCGCTGTGGGCTAATGCATCAGACTGGAAAGTTGTTTGAACTTCAAGGTCGGTGGTTCAAGCTCACCAGCTGCTCCTTGGAAACCCTATACAGGGTCGCTATGGGTCGGAATTGACTCAACGGCACTTAACAACAACAACAACATAGCTTGGGTTAGTAGCACCTTAGTCCTCATACTGACATCTTTGGTCTTGAACCATTTAAAGAGGTCTTGTGCAGCAGATATGCCAGTTTGCAATGTTATTGTTGTTAAGTGACGTCGAGTCAGTTCCAACTTATAGTGACCCTTACAGGATTTCCAAGGAGTAGCTGGTGGGTTTGAACTGCTGACCTTGCAATCACCAGTCTAGTGCTTATCCTGCAGCACCACACATCATTTGATTTCTTGACTGTTGCCTCCATGACTTTTGTTCATGAGTCCAAGCAAAATGAAGTCTTTGTAATTTAACATAATGTTATTTATTTGTCCAGTTGAGAGAATTTTTATTTTCTATACATTGAGTTGCAAATGATACTGAAGGCTGTGGTTTTTGATCTTCATCAGTAAATATTTTAAGTCCTCTTCTCTTTCAACAAGCAAGGTTGTATCAGTTTCATATTAATGGTTATTAATGGGTCATTCTTCAAACCTGATGCCATGTTCTTCGTATAATCACCTCCAATTATTTGCAAAGCATACAGATTGAGTAAGTATGGTGAAAGAATACGACCCTGTTGCACACCTTTCCTAATTTTTACCGTTCAGTGTTCCTTTGTTCTAGTAAAATGACTGCCTTCCTTTTAAGTATTTTGGAATATCCATTCTTCTCAATGTTATCCATACCTTGTTGTCATGATCCACACAGTCAAAACATTTGTGTAGTCATTAAAGCACAAGTAAAAATCTTTCTGGTATTCTCTGCTTTTAGTCAAGATCTATCTGACATCAGCGATGCTATTCCTTGTTCCATGTTCTTTTCTGAATCTGGCTTGAATCACTGGCAATTTCTTTAATAACTGACTGCATTAGGGACAGACATAGAGTGTTTGTATCTTATGTTCTGAAATACTGTCTACACTCTAGGAACTGTAATTTTGGCTGCCTGATTCCTTCTCTCATTTCATTACCCTGCCTCCAAGAATGTCATTCCCTTCCATGTTTCCCTCTCTTCCATAGGCAATACCTTCTTAGTACCATCATCTGTGATTCTGCTGGACCCTAACACCCTTCGCTTTATAGCTCCATATCTCAGACCTTGTGTCTGTGTTTGCCTACCGAGGAAGTATGCTACACTCTGTGCCACACCCTTTTATCCACAATCCCTACCAAAGTCTCCCTGGAGTGGTCCCCAGAGCTTATTCTGCTGGTTGTTATTAGGTGCCATTGAGTCAGTTCTGCCTCATAGCGACCCTGTGCACAACAGAACGAAACATTGTCCAGTCCTGGGCCAACCTCACAGTCGTTACGTTTGAGCCCATTGATGCTGCCACTGTGCCAATCCAACTCGCTGGGGGTCTTCCTCTTTTTCCCTGACTGTCCACTGGGTATATTCCCTATCATACATTTAAATTAGTTTATAGTGTAGGTATTAATTATGGTTTATTATATTTATTTTCTATTTCTGTGTAAAGAGATTCTGATTTAGTTAATTATCATCATTTGATGGTAACCAGAATAAAGTTGTAGAAACTGCTTGCCACAGTAGAAAACATTAAGAGATTTATAGTTACTGTTTTCTAATCCATTTTGTATCAGTCTATACTTACCTTTTGTAACAGAGTATGGCAGTAAACGTTAGCAAGTGTTTGTTGACCATGTTATTCTTAGTAAAATGAGAAATTTAAATAGGGTATGTTAGATTGAGAAGCCTTGCTTGGAAGAGCCTGAAGAGAAAAGGAAGAGTGGTACATCCACAACTTCAGTCCTTTCATTTCTTTTCTGCCATGACAAGATTTGATAGATTGATGAGTCTTTAGATAGTGAGTTTTATTTACTTTTCAACTTCAGAACTAAGTATATTACCACAAATATAGTTGATATCGGTGAATATATATTGTGTGTAGAATAGCTGATAGAGCACATGTAACATAGAAAGAAAGAAAAAAAATCACTGTTTCCTACCTTGGTAGCTGTATTACATACTTGTATAAGGATATATGATTAGATTGAACAAACATGCTCAGAGAAGCTACTATTTACAGTAAGCCATTGATAACCTTGTGGAACACAGTTATACTCTGGCATATATGGGTTGCCATGACGGCAATTAGGGTGGTGGTCCCTGGCACTATATGTGGAGGTTGTTGGTGATATGTGCCATTGAGTTAGTTCCAGATCATAGCATAATCTGGAGTTAGAAAATCAAAAGGGAAGAACATGCTCAGGATTCCTTAAGTTGAGGGAACTGAAGAAAAATGTGAAGCCTCGACTTGAAATATTGGAGGATTCTATGGACAAAATATAGAATGATACAGAAAGCATGAAAAGAAGATGGAGGGAATACACAGAGTAACTATACCAGAAAGTGATGGTCTGTGTTCAACCACTTGAAGAGGTTACATATGATCAAGAGAACTGGCATTGGCCATTTTTCATCTGACACTTAGTGATAAGGAAGAAATCCAAGGTACATTGAAGGCATTGCCAAAGAACAAGGCTCCTGGAATTGAAGGAATACATATTAAAATCTTTCAACAAACAGATACAGCACTGGAGGCACTCACTCATCTATGCCAAGAAATTTGGAAGGTCAACTAACTGAAAGAGATACATATTTGTGCACATTCCAAAGCAATGGAATGTGGAAATCATCAGACAATATTCATATTCCATGCAAGCAAAA